CGAGTGATGTTTTGATTGAGGAGGAGTGGATGTTTAGGTAGGTACGGGAGAGGAGTCTGCCGGGAGCCAGTGGAGGTTGAATAGGGGGTGATGTGCTGCCAGGGCTTGGTGCGTGTGAGAACCCTGGCAGCTGAGTTCTGTACTGGAGCCTGTTCAGGGTTTTGCTGGGAACCCCGGACAGGAGTCCGTTACAATAGTCCAGGCGTGAGGTAATGAAACAATGAATGAGCTTCTCAGCAACAGAGTCGGAAGGTGATGGCCGGAGTCTTGAAATATTTCTGCGGTGGAAGAAGGCTGATTTTGAAATGGATTTGATGTGGTTTTGAAATGAGAGGGTTGAATCCAAGACAACACCAAGGTTGCGGACCTGAGGGGATGGGGAGATGATGGAACCATCGATGTTGAGGAGCAGATCTAGCACGTTAGTTAGCATTACAGCTAGGGATGGGAATTTCAAAGCAAATGTATATTTGAATATTTGAACCCCCAAAAAATGGTTAACCGGTTAACCGAAATGTACATATCCTATAAAAAAAAGATTGGGTAAAAAAAAAAATTCAATTTTTTTTTTAAAAACGATTTTTTAAAATAACTTTTGGAAATAAATAAATACATGTTCAAATAAGTATAGAAACCAAGTCGAATTTCTCAAATTTATTGAACTGGTGATCACAGTTTGACACCTATAGGCCTACAGCAGGGATCACCAACTACATTTGTCCAAGGGCCAAAATGTATCCAATAGACACTATCGCGGGCCAGCGATTTTTATATAGTCGTCAATGCTACATAAACATTATCTTGCACATTTTATCTAACCATCTCCGTTTCTAACTTTCAATATATTTTAAAAGAGATCTCTCTCTCTCATCTCCGTGCGGGGGCGGGGCCTCACAGACATGCTGCATCTCTCTCTCGCTCACAGACATGCTGCAGCGCTGTGCAGTGTGCACACAGTTCTGCCGGTATGAATATACATTTTGTGAGGAAACTTTTCCACCAATAACTCCAATAAGTATTCCAAAATGTATTCACTTCAGGTTTACGAAAGTAACTGTAATCAGATTACTCGTTTTTCAAATGTAACGCCAGCTGAATACAGTTAGCCTACTTGATTTTTGTATTCTGATTACGTAACGCCGTTGCATATATTCCGTTACAACCCAACCCTGCTTCTAGGCTACTCTCCCGCCCCTTCTGCCTCTCTGTTGGACTCTGTCGCAGCAGGGCTGCTGCTGTGGAGCGCACAAAGAAGACTGTTCACAACGAAGGATCACTTCTTCTTCAAGGCAGGGAAGGTTTCGCAGTAGGCAGTCTACTGTCCCGCAGCTGCTGCCTCTCTGTTGGACTCTGGTACTGCACCTTACTCACGAGACGTTGTAAAAAAAAAATGGGCGGGGGGCGAACGCAGTAACCACTCCGCCAACGCCACTGTCACCTAAGTCGCGCGGGCCGGATGAGAATGTCTGGCGGGCCGGATGAGAATGTCTGGCGGGCTGGATGTGGCCCGCGGGCCGCCAGTTGGTGGTCACTAAATTAGAGTAATGAAATGAGACTATGTTTAAAATCAAAAACTGAATCAAAAAGTATTATTTTCGCAAGCTGGATTTAACATTTTGAAGATGATTGTGTGCTGCTGAAATCTGGTCTACCACAATTTCAATAGCAATATTGTATGTTTTGTATATATTTTGTTTTTGTGTCCGTTATGAAAACTTGTATACTTATCCCATTTACTCTGTTTTCTTATTTCTTTTTCAAAATGTTCTATATGTATCACCTACTTTCATTTTGCATTCAGTTATTTTCTTTCATGCTGGGGTGGGGGTGTAATTAATCTGCTTCAGTCTAGTTGAAATGTGCACTGTTGCATCTACTGTAGGCTATGTATTTGACAATGACATTCTGTATGATATTTCTTTATAATGAAAACTCTCAAAAAATGAAAGTGTTAAAAAACTATTATTTTAATATTGCAGATCTGACACACAGATTTAGTTGTTTTAAGTTTTTGAAGTTCAGAATACAAGCTAAAAAAAAGTATACACTATGTGATCTCAAGTCTTAGGTAGGAAAACAAATTAATCTGTTTACACTGTTGAAAATGATTTATATCAACATGGGTTTTTGAGTATTTTTATCAAGATTTATTCAACGTTTTTATGTATAGTTGGATTTTATAGGTAGATCTTTAACAATAACTTTTTTATGCACAGGGACATGCAATATAAACTAATGTCATCATGTAAATACGCTGGTTTGAAGCTGTAAAACAAGACTTTTAGGGTTTGTTTAAAAGATGATGTCATCCAGTGTGGGCATTCACGTGTGAGCCTCCACCAGTGTAGGACCACAGTAGGCTTATAGTATATATCTGAGGTCTGAACCAGACTATAACATGATGTTAGAGCAGTTAATTCAATTACAAAGTTAGGGACCACACATTAATTACATTCCTAACTGGCTCAGGAAGATTGTGAGGCAGGAGCAGAGACAAAGGTTCAAACTAATATTATGAGAAAAGGTCATGTTAATGGCTGGAGGATCCTTTAGACCTCTGACACACAGCAGTAATCAAATACTCTGATACCATTGTTATTACCTTTTATTATTTAAAATAAAAAGGACACTGCACTGGCTGTACCTCACCAGGATCATTTCTTTAGCTTTTTTCTTGTCAAACACTTGAGGAAACATATTTTTAATTCTTAAATATAGTTATTTGATCCGGTTTATGTTATGGTTTGGCCTTTGGCGGACTCACCTGGTATTTTAGGATGTCCACGTTGTAATAGGAAGCTGTAGGATTCTGATCTGAGGCTTTTCTGAGGTAGGACGTCAGCGCTTGCATGTTGAACCAGAAGTCCTTGGAATTTGAGTCACTTTGGGAAGGATCACTAGATAAAAAGATAAACAATCAGAAAGATATGTGCACACACTCACACTCTCTGAATAATCAGAGGCTCAATTATTCATCACTCTTTTTGGCTTTGTGTGCTAAGCTCCAATAGCTTGGAAAAAATGACCCTGTTGTATCTAACCAGCTGCTAAATCATGAATTCCGTTTCATTCCCACCATGCACTGCACTAGAAAACATGCACTTTATCTAAACTTTTTATGAACCGTTGTGAACTCGTCACATTCAATTAGTTTAAAAAAGTTGTAGTTTTAAAATAGAAACAAAACAAATTGTGGACTTTTGAATCTTGCACTGCATGTGAGGTAAAATACACATCTGACAGACACAAGAGGTGAGAGGTAGATTCATATATGTTGGATTAAGCAGCTGTTATATGAAGTTTGCCATTTCAGCGTGTGAAGTATTTCAGAAGAGACGTGGGCTGATGAGAGGCCGCTGCTGGGAAAATGCTTCCCTGACAGCCTAATGATGAGGTTTATGTCAGATTACTAATTGAATTTCCTCTTACTGACGCAGACTACACTTCCTCTGCTCTCGCGTCCAAATCCCTCTTTCACTTAACCACCACTCTGACAGGTTTTCATTTCGTTCTTCAGACTTCTTAAACATGTTTTACACACTCCTGTGGACAGCTCACCTGTACAGCAGCTGTTGGTTGGGGAGGATCTGCTCCAGCCTGCTGGTGTTCTTCAGTTTGAAGGTGAGCACGGCGGGGGAGGGGTTGGAGGTGAACACCTTGATGATGCCCATGGGGAACGACAAGGTCATGTCTCCTGTGATCTTCACAATGCACCTGTGGAACGCAGACAAGTTAACGTGAATTATGAATGTCAGAAAAGGGTTTTCTCAGAGCCCCTCTTTTGAATCAATGACCCCATCAGACCTCTTTTTTCATCAGATTTCAATTTGGTTTTAACCAGAATAACATCAGGAGCTTGTAAAGGTGCTTTTATTTTCTGTGGAACGGCCTTCTGAAATGCTTTTCTGCATCTAGAAAAACTGTATGTTGATTTAAAGAGAAGCTCAGGCCTTTGAGGAGCATATATGGATGTGTATGGACTGTGTGTATAACTGTATATGGTATTTATTTTGATTGTTTGATGTGCTTTTGGCTCTTATTTTCCTTTTCAAATGTCCCCGGAATAAGGAGTAAATATATAAATAGTATCTATTTTTGTTATATTTTTTCTATACCGCTGTGTTGCATAATGCTAGATGTTTTTCTTTCTTTTCTTTTGAATACATAGCACATTGGGTTTCTTTGTAATTACATGAGGCTCTATAAATAAAGCTGCCTTCTCTACATTTTGTCTGTACATCAGTCCAAAACCCATATATACTATTTTATTTAAAAAGCAATGAGAGATTAGTATAAAATGAACACATTTAAGAAGCTGGAATGAGAGCCTGTTTGGATTTTATTCTTAGAAAATCCATTATGAACACGAGAGTTAATCACTACTCTTACTGAGAACAAAGCTTACAGTAATAGGACATATTTGTTGTGATTATATATTGTACTTAAGCCTACTAATCTGCTTTGTATACAAAGATATACAGTAAACAAGGCCCTTTTTAGAGTAAACATGAAACACATTGGCTTTAGATGCAACACATCTCCATTTCCACCTTTCTTCACGCACATCTGCGTGCTTCTACAGTAATATAAATCCAGCTTCTCCTTTCAGTTGAGATGAGAGTCTGCGGTGGTAACTGTCCACAGCGTGTCTGAACCTCGCACCGTGTCTCTGCTGCATTGCTTATGAAACGTTCCATTTACTAAGCCCTGCAAAAATAAGCCTTTTGCACAGCTGCAATTTAACAGCAGTTAACCAATAAACGGCTGTATGTTTTCTCTGCCCCGGACTATAATCTGCCCCATGTAGGTTATCCACTCTGAAAGAATGGTGTCAGACTCACGCAAAAAAATCCACACATGCAGGGCGAGAGGGAGGTGCACACACAAAACCAAAGGCTCTGAGTGCAGTGCACATCATGCAGAATGACACCGTTTAACTCATAACGTCATTCGTGGTGAAGTTTCAGTTCAAATATGGACACAAATGCGTATGCGTGCAGGTCCATGTTTGGGCCTTTGAGCAGCAGGAGGTCATGTGAGACTCACTTAGTGGGATCAGCGCCTTTGAAGTAAGCATTAACCGATTCTGTGAAGGCCACGGCAATGGGCAAAGCATCTTGGGACGCCAGGGTCACAGGGCTGGGGCCGCGAGACGTTCCTGAGAAAGAGAAAGGCGCAGAGTGAGAGGCCTGATCGGACTTTCACACCAGAGCTCACATCAGAAGGCTTGACCATGCAAAGATGCATTATATAATATAGAAGTATTACTGCAATTCAGTCATTCATACATTTCAAAGCAGTACATTCTGTTAATTTTCATAATGAAAAAAACTTTTTTTGAGTAGATCATGCTCCAGATTCTATACTTCAAATTAATTATATTAGTTATACATACAGTAGATTGCTTCAGGCAGCATATTCAAAGTTAAGTCAACAAAATATTTACCAGTCAAATCATTCATTACGTCGTTATTCTAACAACAACATTTGTATAATGTTAGGAGTTGATGCAGTTGACGGTAGGACAAATGTGAGGAATGATCTGAATGTGTGAGAGCACACAGGACAAAGAAATGCATCACTGCAAAGCAGTCCATCCAGTCGAACAGACTGGGGTTAGTTTGAGTTAAATACAGAGGAGGGTCCTCTTGCATGATCTCAACCATACCTGCTGGTGTTTCACACCGCTTCTCAAAGGTAGGCAGCTTGGCTATGAACGAATCATCCTCTTTACGCCAAATTAAAGCGATACAAAAAGAAAGAATGAGATAAAAGAAAAACCCAGAGAGCACAAACATGATAATGCTAAGCAGTGTGATGTGTGAGAGTGACAGGTGACATGTACAGAGTACAGGGCATGACCTCATTGAAAGGAGTATCTCTGAAGGCAGTTTGGAAAGGCGGACTCACTTTGGCTTAGAGGAAAGAAAGGAGAGAGGAAGAGCAGCTCTTGCTCTGGGGAGGAGAGGGGGGGAGCAGAGGGGGGCTCAGCTCCTGTGAGGAGAGGAGTCAAGGGAGCAAGGAGGAAAAGCTGATCTTATGCAGGGACAAAAGGTGGGTGGAAACTTGGTGAAGAGTTGAAAAGCAGAAGAAAATGGAGATTCTCTCTGTCTAGAGGGGGCTTACCAACAGTGGGGGTGTTGCCGGCACTGAGTGAGGCATTCGAGGACAAAGAGGAGGAGCTCTCCGCCCGGGCAAGGGGCGCAGCGGGAGGGGGGCTGGCATTGGAGGTCTTGGGTGGGCTGAACGGCCGTACCTGAGTGAAGGGAGTCATAAATAGGATGTTATTACAATGTCAGAATGTTATTTTTATAGCAATCAGTATTGTGTTCCTGTAGTGACTCACAATCTCATTGATTCCTGTGAGTTTCCCTGTGGGGAGTTTGGGCCTGGAAGAGGGTCGGGGTGGGGGCACCAGGGCTCCAGCTGTGAGGGGGGTGGTTGGTCGATTTGGTAAAGGCACTACACACAGAAACACATGGAGGTTTTACTGGTTGGTGGCGGAAAACAGCATACAAATAGGGTAAAAACACTGAAATGAATTCAAGTAGATGCAAAAACCTCATGCATGAAGTATAAAAAACATAATTGCAAAACATGAAAATCATTACCTCACAAGAAAAACACATTCCCAAATTAACTTCACAAAAAAAAACTCAAATACAAACATGTTGCAAAGCAGGCAGGGAGTTAGACAAGCGTTTTCCTTGAAACAAAAATGAAAACACTGCAAAAAATACATTCTTCACAATAAAACCCATGAGAACATAAAGAAACGGAACACAAATAGAAATAAAACTCCAAACTTCAGGCATTGCCACATCACAACCTTAGCATCAGTTATAATGTTACCATTCAATATGTTGCCTGTTTGAGCTGCTGCCATCGCCCTCTCTGTAATCCCAGAGAAGACGTCAGTAAAGCGGGGGTCTTCTCTGCTGCCGGACGTTTTGCAGTATGCGTCGGCAGAGTCGTCAGAGAGGCAGCGGGTGGACCGGGGGGGGCCGGTGTGGGGCCCCTGGAGCTCCTTCACACTGAACCCCTGATGGCGCGCTGGAGCTAAGTTATCACTGAAGGCGATCCACTGGCTCTGGGACCAGCTGACGGAAGAGAAGGCGTTGCCGCTCTTTGGGGGGCTGGCAGCTGAGGGGCTTCTGATGGGGTCGATGGGCTCCGTGGGCAGGGTGATGGGGGCGCTCTGGGCCCTCGCTGGCACGGGCTTGAGGACTTGGAAAGGGTTTTCTGGGGAGTCCCAGGGAGAGGAAGTGGACGAGGAGAAAGAGGACACTTCTTTGGATTGCTGGCTCTCTGCCAGAGGGGGGGAGCGCTCCCGTTGTGTCACCGCCTCAGCTGGGGGGGGCGCGTGAGTGATAGAGCGATAAACATGATAAAGCAAAGTGTAGACAGGTAACAATCAGACATGGAGTTACATGTTTAACAATACTTTTCACATTAGTTAACAATACGAGATGATGCTTGAGTGCCCTTCTAGTTTTCATTTGGGATTGGTTTGCTTCTGTGTTGATGCAGTTCAATGTTGTTGACAAATACAAATAGATAGTTCTGCAGGTCTTTTATTTGTATGCAATGGGAGATGATTTGGCTCGGGTTGTCTCAATGTTGCTTGTAACAACATATTGTATTACTGATTGCCAAACCTTATACAACTCACATATTTGAGTAGTATAGTGAGTCATTTGGAGAACTATGCCAGTATTTCCCCTTTTTTATTGCTATTCTTTAACATCCCAGGGTGAACAAAATATGAAGCACCTCTGTGGCACTGTATTAAAGTAGTCTTTAAGTCTTTTCTAGGTGTTTAAAACATATTGTTTATCCACTTTAATCGTCTCACACGCAGTAGGGGTTACTTTAACAGAAACAAACCGATATACACATTATTTAATCTTTAGTAAGTGGCTGTTACCTCGCTGTCTACAATACTACATTTTCTTTTAACTCAAAAAGGGAATCATAGATCTTGTGTACCTATTTTAGCACACTGCAAGTTTAAAGCACAGGCAAAACTCTGAGTATCCTTAGTCTTGAGGAAATATGACGCATATTTGAATGGAAAATGTTTCCTCTTATCAGGAATAAATGAGCAAAGCGATGACCCTGATTTTTGACACACATCCTGATTATTAGAGTATATGTCATACCTGTCCACATGCATTTCAACAGAAATCTGACATAAGTACCATGCAGCAGAACGGTAGTTGATACGTTTGACGGTCTGATAAACGGGGCACACACTCTTTACCTGATGCCTCTGGCAGAAAGACCTCTGAATCATTCATCAGAAAAGATGGAGATGGAGGGATTGAAAGGAAGATAGAGGCAAGGTCTAACAAGAAAAGTTCAAATGAATAAAACAAACAAGGAACAAACATATTTTTTAAACTCAGACAAAAATGTTTGAAGAAAACAAAAAGCAAAGGAATAAAACAATATGTAAAACAAATGAAAATGTACAGAACAAAGCAATAAATACAATATATGAAAACAAATCCTGTACATGCGGCTTGATTCAGTGAGCACAGACTTATGTATAGTGTCATGTGTGCTAATGCTGCTGCACTGTACACAGAGAGATTTAACAGGCTGTGAGCAGGGCCTTAATTCCCATCACAGTACCTTAATCAGGGCACTCTGCGATGCTCTTTTGACTTTTAAGCCGAGACCTTTGACAGTAACGAGACAATGTTTGACAACATACGTGTCAGGGGGCTTTATAGCCGACCCCCTGACCTCAACTAGGTGCCAATTAACTGTGGATTACGCTTAGCCTAGGCAATGGGTCAGCGCTAATGTCACTCTGTTTAAACACTGGTGTCATGCATGGAAAGCCATGAGAATCACTCTATCAACACTTCAAAGTCAAACAAACACTTAGAGCGCAATATGACTGTAGAGACTTCAGGAAGATGTATAGGAAACAGGAGGAGCACAAGATTTGAAAAGGATTGTAAAAGTAAAAACTGTGATAGCAGCGATTTTAATTCTCTAAGGCTGAATATGCTGTTGACCTCAGGGGTTAGTTCCTCTAACTGGGACTGCCCTGAGAGGAAAGTCATCTACTGAGGTCCTAAGAAGAACAAGAGGAAAGGGGAGACTACAAAAACAGCAAAAAGGACACGATCACTGGCTCAAACGTGGGAGTAAAAGCCAGAATGCTTGTAGCATACTTAAAGTGATCATTTTAGAGACTTTTTAGAAGCTGTCAGTTTGCAGAGTAGAAAACATCATTTCTGACATTTCAAAACATAAACATCAAATTAAGCAATTCATCTTATTTGTACCATATGAGGGGAAATATCCCCCAAGCTCACATTAACAGAACAAAAAAACACTCAATGAATTTTTCTTTTTCTCTGGTTTATGGATTTGACTTATTAAAAACAAAACATAAAGAAGGTTGCTACTTAAAGTTATCAATCTTGAGATTTTTATAAAATCAAACCCACTTTGATATGCTCTGATTTGTATCTGATATTCAATGTACTTACCTTCTGTAATTACAGTATATTATAATACAGGAAATGAAGAACGCATGTATCCAGCGAGATCTTATTTGATTGATATCAGCCTCACTGTTTAGGGTTTACTGCATCGTGTCAGAACATGTCATATCATTGTTGGAACAAGAAGAAGAAGAAGCTACAAGGACATTTTGGAAGAAGGGCTGCACACATTCAACTTCTCATCAAGACAACTATCTCCTATCCCCATGTTCAAAAACGTGTTACACTGTGTACAGTATGAAGTCAGGTCGCTGTTGCTATTATGATTGATTCTTCATTCAAACAATGCGAGTCAGTTTAGCTACACTTTGGGGTGTGGCCAAACGAACCGGGACGGAAATGTCAAGAAGTACAAATGAAAAAGGAATTGCAGTAACCTGTAAGTAATGTGCACAGCAGTGAAGAAAGAATGAGGCTTGAGGGATTACCTGTTGATGAAGAAACAGAGGAGGAGGAGCCTGCTGCAAGGCTCGGGCCGAACGGGTCCAGAGACAGAAGGTCGTTGTTGGTGAGTCTGCAGGGGGAGAGGGTCAAGTTCAAATGAGAAACATTTACAGCAGAAAGCGGCACGATTTCCTTCCATACAAAACAAGATAGTGTTAACATGTTAAAAATGGTGGCAGTCATGGACACATTCATACTTACTCGTATGGTGTTGGCACTCTGGGTTTTGCCAGCTCATCACCTGCAGGAAGAGACAAACGGAAAATTCAGACCCAACAGACCTGCAGAGCACAGCACATTACTAAGATACAAATAAAACCCCAACACAAGAGGCTTTCAAAGGTGACAGTTGCCAAAAGCCATGTTTAAAGTTATTCACACCTTAAACCAGAAATATAAACTGAGCTTCTGACAGCTGTGAAAAGTCATAGAAGTATATTTGCAGTAAGATTTCGGTTGATTACAATATTTTTCTTATTTCTGCCTTACACAGTGAACATCTTACCCAAATACTGCAGAGGGTTCAAATGTGCTTTTGATTGGATGGTAAACCTTTACAACAGGGGACCTCAAATAAAACCAGGCATTACTTTGTTATTTTGCACCCCTTTTCTAAAGTGTTACAGAGCATTGCAAAGATCCATACGAGCAACCTGAAGCAGCCCCAAAGCACCAGAGGAGGCAATGAGAGGACCCAAATATAAAACCATTTCAATATTACAAATAAAAGTTTGCAGTGAGAGTGTGTCAGCTGAGAGGAGGGTTGTGGCAGGGGGGGGGGGG